TTGGTGGGGATTCCGTGGATTTCAAAATCCAAAAGAACACGACAACAAATTACAGATTAATCAGTAATTCCGAACAATAGCAAATCCAAGAAAAACACGAAAATTCTCCAACAAATTAGCAACCGTGGATAGTTCAAATTTGACAAACCTCCAAGGCACGATCACTTACAATACTGCTCAGTACTTCCGACATTATTTCGTATACGAAAAATTACCAGAAAATTCCCCAATTTTGCAGCGAGCATTAGAACATTTTCCCTGTAAAGCCTGTTCTCAGTGTCATCCGATAACACAAACGCTCAGCCCAGAATTCCAACAATTTCTAAATACCGTTGAGCCATTAAATCCGGTATACTCCCAACAAACGATAGACGTATTCGAAGAATTTCTGCAACACAGAGAAAGTAAAGTCGCAGTTGTTCAACTTCTCCAAAGCATAGTTTTCCAAGCAACACCAAAACGAGTAGGCCGCATAGCGACAATATTAAGTTCGACGTTCGTTTTTGATATTCCCTACAACGAAGTCAACGAACATCCATCAACTGCGAATCTTACAACCTATTCAGAAGACGTTGACGATTATATTCATCGATTAGCGCGCTCAGGGACAAGCTTATCGTCACAACTTACACTTACGGAAAAGACCAAAACTTTCGTAGGATATTTCTTTAACCAAAAGGCAAGCAGTCTCGGATCATGTAGTCCAAAATCGGATACGCAGTCAAACGAACGCGCAGAAAGCGAATACCTCGAAGCCGACCAAGATAACAACAAATACAGTGACGAGTCAAGCACTACTACGCCTCCGCTTACCCCTAGTCACTCTGCTTTAGGATACAACTTAGTAGAAGCAACTCACAGTGCTCAGCAATTGTATACGGCGACAGTATCAACACCACAACCAGAATCGTCTACCTCAAATAAGAAAAATAAGGGTAAACAGAAGCAAGAGATACCCGAAATTTTGATAGTAGCAGATACCGACTCCGAAACAGTTACGCCAGTAAAGAAGGTTCAGAAACCAAAGAAAGCCAATCCGCCAGTCAATCCACCTAACCATCCACCTAATCATCCACCTAACCATCCACCTAACCATCCGCCTCAGCAACAACAACAAGAAGAAGAAGACATGGCTACAGTACCTTATCCAGTTTTTGATGGTACCAATCCCAAATCGTGGCTAGCCCAGTTGGAAGGAGCCATGCTTGCTAATGGTATAGCAGCAGACAATCATGCCAGACGTCTAGGCATTGCATCCTATCATATGGGACCTTTTCAAAGTTGGCTAGCTAATCATCAACCAGCCATAGCACAATGGGATAATGCCAATGCAAATGCTCAAGGATTCAAGCAATACTTCATTGCAGAGTTCTTCAACAACGAAACTAAAGAGGAAGCCTTGACTATCACAGAAAGACAGATTCAGAAACCAGGAGAATCCATTGACATGTACATTGCAGCATTAAGAAAAATTTGGCAAGAATGCAACCCTAACGAAATGACTGACTATCATAAGCTCAAGAATTTCCTCAGTGGACTAACTCCAGCCATCAGAATGTCAGTCAAACAAACCATGCCAGCTGACCTGAATGCAGCAATCACCACAGCTAAGGCACATTACAGAGCTGTAAAGGAAGAAATGCAGCCTGAACCAGCAATGGCTGCCAATGAAGTTAATGAGGCATTGACAGCAGAAAACAAAGAGCTGAAAGAAAGACTCCAGAGATTGGAAAAGAAGGAACATGATCAACAAAATCAATGGAGGAGACCAGAGCATGTCAGACAACCTATAATAAACATGCGTTGTTATTATTGTGGAAAGATGGGACATAGGCAATTTGACTGTAGAATCAAAGAAATGCACATTAAACAGGGCAGAAAGCTTAGGTGGTATTCACCTCCACCAAGAAATGACAGACTACAGGGAAAAGGCCAGCCATGTCAGTAGAGGGCACTGATGGTGGCAGTTTTATAAGCCCCTCACAAGGTGCAAGGCAGTATGGGGACGTTGACGTTTCAGGATCCACATATTGTTCAGCCTTTGTAGAGGAACAGGGGAGTAGGATCTTAGTCAATACTGGATCCTCAGTTACAATAATTTCTGCAAGATTTTTCGATAAAATTGCAGGAAAACCCAATATTAGACCAATGACAAAGAAAATGACCTATAAGATCCAGGGTGTAACAGGACATCTAGAAGAACCAAAAGGAGAAGTCAAGAATGTACCACTCAAGTTCAGAAGAAACGGACCTACATGGGGATTAAACGCGTGTGTAATGAACTCAGCAACAGCAGACATCATTTTAGGAACCAACTTTCTTAATAGGTATAAGGCATTGCTTAACCTACCAGAAAAGAAACTCACTCTCACCAATCTGAACGGAATAAAGGAAGAAATACCATTAGTAGAGAAGCATCAACTACATATCTGACCAGTAAATGTCATTGAAGCTATGGATATAGAGCAATCCCAGGAGCTCGATGCTATGGAGATTGATCCAAATCCTAAGTGGAAATGCATGAAAGGACCCAAAGAGC